TTTATGGTGAAGAGATATGACTGAGTCAGAGAGCCATTAATCCTCTATGACATCTTTCAGCTTTCTGCTATTTTGTGAACAAAACAATGTGGTAACACTTTTGTTAACCTGCACTCCTTATAATCCCCCAAAGTCTCCTCTATGTCTTCAGAATAAAATCTAAATTATTTCCATTATCTTTCCCAAGGAATTCTCCATCCTCATGGCTAGCTGCTCTCCCTCACCCATATTTGGAGCATAAGCAGGTAACCCATCCTGTTCTTTTTTGCCTCCTTGTCTTGATGCACTATTGTGCTCAGGGCTCTAAAGTCAATGTCCTACATCATTCAGGTGCAACTTTTTTATCATTCAAATCTTCCTATAGATATCACCTTCTCCAGAGTATATTACCCAAACCACCAATGTGATTTGTGTTTCCTGTTTCTATCATAGAGCTTATTCTTATATTGAAATTATTTAGCTTTCTGTCTTGCTCACTAGGCTCACCATAGATTCCCAGATAAGAAGTGTATTTTTCTCAGCTTGAGATACATAGTAGCTAACACAGTGCCTTGCATGTTGTGGGCACTCAATATATATATTCAATGAGTAAAGTAATTAATATTTACAGAGAGGGAACACAAATATGCAGAAAATTGACATTTGATGAAGGAGCAAATGGCACCAGTCTTGCCTAACCCATCAGAATCCAGGACTGATTCAGAATCAATAGAGCATCTTTAGTTCTATATCCTCCCTATTTTCCCACCCATTGCTTTCCTCTAGAACCTCAACTATTTGCAAATAACTAAGCAGTTTWACCATTAGCCCCAATACAAGATCATGTTTCTTTGCTGAAATTTGATGCAAAAAGCTTAGTGTGACCAACTGGTATAGTAAGGAAAACACTGGACTTAAGAATCAGACCATTTGAGCTCTAGTCGCTATTCTATCATTTGACTAATGGTGTATACTGGAAAGATCCCCCAACCAGCCTAAAATGCAGCTCCCTTTCCTATTTGATCATCCTTAGTAAAGTTAAATTCTTGTTGTTGTTGTTGTTGTTGTTGTTGTTTAAACACATTCTTGTCCAAGTTGGCAATTGGAAGTAGCCAACTGAGCCAGAAAGAACTCAGACTTTAGGATATGACAAGCTTAACTCTGAATCCTAACTATACCACCACACAATAACTGGGTGATCCTGGGCAAGTTACTTAACCTCTCTGAGGTAGTTTTCTCATATGTAAAGATACTAATAATTTCCTCTTGAGTTATTGTAAAACTTAGATGAGATAAAGAGTGAGAAAAAAACACTTATAGATTTTTTCAAATACCAAATAAGATTGTTGTCATTATTCTTGTTTGGGCAGGTTTAAGAATGGTATAGAACAATGTTTCTCAGAGGCTTTGTATTCCACATAATTACAAGTATATTTAATAGATGTTACCTCAAAAATTATTGACAACTACACATGAGCACTAAGAAAAGTTTTTAACTTTTGACCTATCATTTTCCCTACTTATTTGAACATGGGACACCCTTTAATAGCAAGGGTAGAATAGCAAGCACAGTAAGAGTCTTTATCACCTTTTACTATCGAGATTCTCAAAGAAAAACCAAGATACCAAAAATGGTGAAAACCCTCCTGACTCAGCATCCATTAATGAGTTTATTCTTTACAGTGTTCACATTTCCTAGAAAAGATAGATAAATAGGTACATATATACAKAGGAAATTTTCAGATAGAATTGTGAGAATAAATTTGATAAATATTGAAGGAAAAAGACATTTAGAAACAACTTGTCATGGGCATGGGGGCTAAAAACTGTCCTACTTGGGCATTTCTTATCCCCATTGGCTAAACTTCACTCTTAGTAATTTCTGGAATCATATAAAAAGAATAATAAAGAAACACAGCTTCTAATTCATTTGCAGGCACAGATCAGTTAAAGTCATAATTGCTCTTTTTACATGACAGCAGAAGTTCACTTCATTATTTCAAATGGCTCTTTCTCAGTATTACCTCCTGTGACTTTAAAAGCCGCCATTAATTTCCCATTAGTAAACTTTAATTAAAATGAATATGTATCATTGCTTTCAGCAGTTGCATTTGTAATACATGGAAAAATACATGCAAATGTTGCCCACAAAGTTACAAATGGCTCATTTCTGTACAAGCAAACACTTTGATGTTATTTCAAAAGATTTTATCCACAGAAAGCTTTTAGAATCTAACCTTTCCCTAAAAGAACTAGAATTTTATGTAAATACAATGAACAGTTACCAACCTAGTTAAAATCTATTTTATTGATCCCAGAAAGTAGCATGTTAAAACATGAATAATGACCTCTGAGCTTTGAACCCACTCAGTACCTTGGTGTTTCTGCAATATTTGTGTGCAGTGCATTGAAAAGGAAAGCTAGAAGGGGCAGAAGAATATGTCTAATTGAAGGTCTCATAGTGGTCTAAGATGTTGGACTATGTCTAATACAATAATCTGAGATGAGTCACATTTCACCAGCTTATYATCAAAGATGCTTCTACCCCAAAGTTTCCATTCAAATATTCAACACTCAGAGAAATTGGAACATATTAGAATGTATCTGAATGTTAAATTTCATAAGCTTTCTTATCCTTTTGCAATTTCTTTTATCAGGTCAAAAATTTTTATAAACATTATTTATAAAGAGAAAATGAGGCTGATGAGTCTTAGATCATGCTTGCATCAAGTTACCCTGGCATCCCCAAAATATGTCAGCCAGAATTCAATAGCAGTTAAAGGAGATGATAATTCAGGTTTCCATACTAAACACATCATTCTGAAAATGTTCACAAACATCTGATAATATTTCTAATAATAATAATACTTCTGCCTCTAATGAGAATACTACAKAAATGCTTAACAAAAAAGGAGCCACATATTCCTCCAAGGGTTAGGTCACTTAATGCCTTTGGCTGGCAGACTGTGGTTTTCTCTCTGCATTCAACCTTACCCTTCCATTGCTTTTCCCCTTTGATATCTATTCTGTAAGGACAGTTGGTCCAGTGGCTGTGGTCTCACTAAGATGTCTGTAGGCCTTTATCTTTTGCTAATTATTTCCCATTTTCTGCATATTACTTCCTGAGAAAATTGAGCATCATTTCTCATTTTTAGAAGAGTCAGGACATACAACATAAAGCAACGTATTCATTGGCAGAATTTGATAGATTTTCAAAATGTATCGATGTTTAGGAAAAATTCATAGTTTTTAATTAATAGAACTGAGAAGTACTTGCATTATACTATATATTTGCATATCGAGAAACTTTAAAGGCAACTTTAAAAGGAATCTTGCATAAAGTTTGAAAAAGTTAACAAATGAAATTGTAAGCCTCATTTACCACATTATCAGATTAAAATGCTAATCATCTGCATAGCAGTCATAAATAATTTCAGTAATTAAATCAAGGGTTCTAGTTCTTCATCATACATGAAGAAGAACATCAAGCTATAAGCCTTCCCAACAGACATCTATGGAAAATAGAGCTATCGCATTTAACCTACATTCCAAGAGTCCTTTGACTGCAAAATATAGATGTTTCCAATGTCAATCTGACTGCATAACATACATCACATTTCCAGAAAGTATCTGCTTAAATTTTTTTTTTACAATGTGGGAAGTCTCCATCTCTGGCAATGTTTATTCTGGTTTACAAAGTACTGGTCCTAAGAAGGTGGTGAAACCATCATACTTGCTAGATGAAAATGCTTCTGTTCATAATAAACCAAAAGAAGTGTGTGTTCCATTCCACAAACCCTGAGTTGTTTTCAAGCAGGTACTTTGGTATAGTTAATGACTTACATTTTATCACAAAAACACATTAAAATAAAATTTAAGAAGAACACTAGATTAGCAGAGTGCTGTCCCATATTGGTACACTTTCTAGGAAGTTTCCACATGTTACTTACACTATAGATTTACTAACTCATTCTAAAACCATAAAAGCTCTGGATGTTAGCATCTAAATAATTCCACATACATAACTTTTGGAGATGTTCAATAGTGTTTGCAAAACCTACTAAAACAAGAGTCAAAAGAACACATTCCTGAGCATACTGTTACAATATCCATAAATCAGTGGAATGGTTGATATGTCCCTGTCTAACAAGTTTAGGCTTGTATTTAAGTTTGCGTTTGGAAGTGATATATATATATATATATATATATATATATATATCATATCACATCTAAGAAGATCTGGTAGATCAGATACTAAGTAGCAAAGCAGCCAGTGAAGATACCAAGTACAATTCAAGTACAATTCAAGTTTATAGGACACACCAAGGGTTCTCATTCACATGAAAAAAAAAAAACAGATGTGGGGATATTGCAAGATAATCAGAAGGTGCAACATATAAGTAAGTCTGGGCCTGTAAAATGTACTTACTCATGCTTGGAGATATGTATGCTTCTATATGACAAGTTAAGTGCTTTTTTTTTGTGCTTTACTTTAAGTATAGTACTTCTCTAGCAGTGGTCATTAAAATGTGGGTACTTTTGAGTGATGACAACTCCCATCTAAATAGAATTGGTAATTTTTCCAAAGGAACAACAACAAMAAAAAATCCTGATTGCAACATTGACATCAAATTCAACATAATAAAAACATTTTAAAAGACCTGACCAGAATCCTCTGCTACTCACTGAAAATGGGGAGGGGGAAGGTTGTAGCATATGAAGAGAGAGAGAAGCAAGTGAGGCAGTGGGAAGACATTAGGGATGAGGTGATTAAAACCACTTTGCTGCCCTTCCTTGGTTTGTCACTCCCCTCCCACTCTAGGCTGATTTAAAAAAATCTTAAAACTACAAGTCCCATTTAAACACACACACACATAAACACACACAACAACAACAGCAACTGAAAGAGTGTGACTAGGGTAACCACCACAACAATCCTGAACGATTTTCGTGCAAAAGCAAAGCAGTGGGGATGTAGTAGCAGCAGTGACTCTCCCTTGCCCCCACCCCTGATACGGTACCTCCAGATTTGCCCGAGCTGCAAGATGTGGATGAGTGACTGCAGGAGCCAGATGCAGAAGGAGCAGGACGCAGACCTGTGTTTGCCGCTGGCCCGGGTGGCCCCGCTGCTGTTGCTGTTAGTGGCGGTGATGTTGCTTTTGCTGGCGTTGGACGCTTGTCTTTGCGGCGTGGAAGGACGAGCCTCGCCTTCCCCAGCTGCAGACCCACCGCTGACCAGGGTCTTGCAATCCGCTCCAGACTGCGGGCAGCTGGAGGCAGCGGCCGTGGTGCTGTCCTCGGTGCTGAAATCGTGCACAAACCAGCGGAAGCTGAACACTTGCACTGAGAGCGAGCCGAGCACCACGAAGAAGAGCGTGAGCCCGAACCACCAGCGCTGGCCGCGCAGGTAGTAGTCCACGGCGAGCCAGATGTCCGTGCCCACGTCCGCGAAGTACACGGCCACCGCGGCCAGGATCCAGAGGCAGTCCCACAGCGAGTAGCGCCGCTGCTCCCTGCCCAGGCGCAGGCACAGCGCCGCCGAGCCCGCCCCGCTGCCTCCACCCGGGCCGCCAGCGCCGCCGCCCGAGCCGCCTGAGCCCCCAGAGCCACCGCTCCCGGAGCAGCAGCAGCAGCAGCGCGAGCAGCCGCTGCCGTCCGGGCAGCAGCCTCCCCCGGCTGCCTCCTCGTCCTCGGCTCCGGACCCCGACGGCAAGCCTGGAGCCAATGCCTGCACCGAGCCCGAGTGGTCCGAGTTCTGCAGCGGGGTGAATGCCACGTCGCTGCTCTTCTTCATTTTCAGCCTCCCGTCTGACTTAGCGGCCATGATGCCTCCAAACCGAAGGAGAGCCCTCCTTTATCTGACACCTTTCCCCGCTGTCTCCTCCTCCCGCCACCTCCTCTGCTCACCCCGGCTTCCCTCCCAGGCGGCGCGGCTCTCCCTCCTCCTGCTCCTGCGCCGGCTCGCCTGCCGCCCGCCGCCGCCCGCCGGGCTGGGCGCTGGGCCGGGCTAGCGGCGCGCCTCGGGCCGGCAGGAGCGCCGCCTGGCTGCCTGCGCGGAGCCAAGCTGCTCACGGCGCCCCGCGCGCGCCCCWGCCCGCCGCCTCCTCTCCTCGCCGTCCTGGCCCCGTGGCTGCCGCCCGAGCCGCCACCGCCGCCAGCAGCAGGAGCAGCAGCGGCCGCCGCGGCGCTCCTCGGACCTGCACATTCCTCTCCTCCCCTCACGCGCGCTCCCTCCTCCCGCTTCCTCTCCTCCACCAGCTGACTCCGAGGGAGAGGATGACCTCATCCCTTCCCTTCCAGCTGCCGCCGCTCCCACCCCGACTCGGGAGGGGCGAGGGAGGAGGAGGGCCCCGGAGGAGGGGCCGGGACCGAGAGGAGCGGCAGTCGGGTGGGGGGACTGGTCTGGTCGGTCCCCGGGGCACGGAGCCACAGCGAGGTGCGAGAGGGAGACGATCGAAGGCCCCCGGCTCGCGGGATTTTGAAGAACACTGGGTGGATTTGATCGACATAGGGGGAGGGGTAGGAGCGTGAAGAGTGGAGGGGTCCTCTGGTCCAGCCAGTGCAGAGGACGAAGAGTGGGCACGGACGGGCGTGGCAGTGGCGAGGGGCCAGGAGGTGCAGGCCTCTTTGTATTCCGTTCCAAGCCCTGGCACTTGGGAGACCGGCTAGATGTGGGACTGGAGCTAGCGAGGGTTAAGAGAACAGGTTTAACTCGGATGCTTGGTCCCCAAACGCTGGCAGCCCTAGTTGGCACGTCAGGCTTTGCAGTTTGTAGGAGGATAAAGGCGTGCAGGGACTGAGGAAAGAGCCGGGATTCGCCTGAGAGGCGACCGGCAGGCGGGACCGATGGGAACCCCAAGCCCGCGCCTTCGGGGAAAGGAGCGGGCAGCGGAGGGCTCTGGGCTTCTCCTGCCAGCGGGACGCCTAGGCTCTGGGAAGTGAAAAGGCGCTCCGGGATCCGCAGCGCAGACCCAAGCTGCCGGATTCCTGCTGCTGGGAAGCAGTGGAGCCGTCAGGAGCCACCGCCGGGCAGGTGGGAAAYGCGCACCCCTGGTGGAAGCCTGGAGCGCGGCTGGGCAAAGGGGCGCGGCTGGCAACAGCGGGAAACCCGGTGTCAGCCCCGCCCCCTGCCCACAGGCAGGGAGTGGCGGAGCTGGAAGCGGGCGCCACCTCCACTACTCCAAAACTAGAATCACCTTGTCTTAAAGCTATAAGGGTGCAGACTAACCGTGTGGTCTCACAACTCTAGAAATGACTCAAATTAATGTAATCTGTGATCCGAGCGGTACACCAAATTAGATTTTAGAATAACGTGTTACAGTATTTAAAGATGATGAAAACCCCAATAAAATATAGAATCTTCGGCTTTTTAAATAATAATAAAATATAGTAGGTTATGAGTTGTCCCACTTCACTTTTACAAATGGGAGGGAGAGAAGTATGCAATCCTTAAATTATACTGTACCTCACATACTTTAAGACCAGAGGAAACTAAGGTGTTGCCCTGCCACTTAGAGGACCAGTTAGTCTTTATAGATCAGTAGCATAGCATCCATAGCATCCCCAGCCCATCACTCCTTTCCTTGGGGTGAGCGCCAGGTGAGTTGCCTCTAAYGCGTAATGCCATTCTTAATTAGTAGCATTATGAAGTAGAAGTCCATGAATGAGAAATGGTCACTGCAGGGCTGGGGTTGTGGCTCAGTGGTAGAGCACTCGCCTAGCATGTGCGAGGCCCTGGGTTCGATCCTCAGCACCACATAAAAACAAATAAAATAAAGGTATTGTGTCCAACTACAATTAAAAAATAAACAAAAAAAAAAGAGAGAAAAGAAATGATCACTGCATACATCTTGTTCTGTATCTCATCTGCTATTTTAGTGATCAACCTTGAAAAAACAGAATTTTTGCTCCACCCTTTATCCTCAAGACTGGTGCCCAGAGCCAAGTCTTCACCTGTCATTCTGATAGAGGGTGTTGGGCCACAAAACCCATAAATAATTACATGGGATGTACAAATCCATTATTGCTAGCTAAAGGCAGGGGCAAGTGATTGCTGAGAGACAACACAATACTACTGAGCTACTTAGATGCCAGACAGAAGGTTATATATTTGAATCCAGCTTTAAAATTGGGCCCTCTTGGATTAGGAAAACCCTTTTTTGGAAAACACCCTGGTTATATTTCCCCAAGCGTTCAAGTCTAAGATTCCATCTCCAGAGCACTGCCGATGATGATGCTCGCCCAAACCATCAGGGAGATGAATGATCTCTTAGGTAACTGGGTCCACAGAGACAAGAGTGTATTCTAGGTCAAGTGCAATGCCTTAAGTTGCACTAGGCATGGAAAGGTTCAGTACAGCATTGGAGGTGCTGAACATTGCAGCAGATTTGAGAGTTTTCTTGGAGCTGGGATTTATTTATTTTTTTTTATTGTATCTTCTACACCTAGCACAGCACTTGCACAACCTACTTGTTCAATAAACGTTAGTGAAGTGAATGCATGAATTTATAGAAAGAACATTCCATGACAGAAAGAATACTACACTCTGTGCTAACGAATGTTCCCATGGAAACATAGGAATTATGAGATTTTTCCTGTTAGCTTCTAAAAGGAAATAACTAGTAATGGTTTCCTTATTAATACATTGATTCAAAACCTCTTAGAATCTCTTTAAATTCTGTCTGACACGTCTTGGGAAAGTAATGGCTACCTGTAGTGAGTGGAAAGAGTTTACAAGTAGGAGGTCAGAGGACAGATGAGCTTTCCCCTCCAAGCTCTAATTATTGGCCCCAGGATCCAGGCAAATTACTTAATACATAGGATTAATATGAGGATTAGGCAAGATCATGTATATTACTGGGCTTTGTATACAATATTGTTCTCGAGAGTCTCTAATCCCATAAATCTCATAATCGCATCTCAGAACATAGATGTTAATATTATCTGTTCTATTGTAATCACTGCACCTGTCGAGGCAGATGGACCTAAGGGTTAAAAGCTTGACTTTTGGACGCAGACGGAAGAATTCTTGGGCATGTTATTTAACCTCCCTGCCCCACATATTCATCCTTTGTAGAAACATAGATACTAATGATCTTTAGAATTCAGTAATGGTACCAAGGAATAAATAGAAAGATGCATACAAACTCTTTGTGTCCAGTACACTCAATACACAACATTCTATTAGTATTCTTCAGTTTCTTTCAGCCACCTCAGGGTTTCTAGCCTATTACTAAGCCGTTGTGTTTAACTAGTCAACTTCTAAAATTGGACTCCTCAAAGCAGAGCAACTGAACTATTTGCCTCAGAGTCAGTTACTGTTTAATACAGATACTTGATCTTTCAATAATGTGATCTCTTCTCCAATAATCTTCCACACTATGTCAGAAATGTATTGCCATTGTCATAAACTAAACCCTATCGTTACTCAGCAGCTTTGACTTCTCAGTTTTGAGCATCCCACTCTCTGGCAAACCCATCCTCAGTGGTTAGGTCCCTTGCATCTGGATTTCACCTCATTTTTGTTCTCCATAACCCCTCCATGTTCCTACCTTTCTTCTGGCACAGGGTAAATTCTATGCCCAATCACTTTTAGCATGCATCTTCATCTCTGAAGTCYTTCTTATTTGACAAGATAACAATACCACTTAAGCCCGCTCTCCACTCCTTCAGGACATACTGGGTACACAGGTTTTGAGAGGAGAAAGGCAGGGTTATTTCAACCCTACTCTTTTGATCATTAACCTGAAGTGAACCCTAAGGCTGCTAAGCAATACAGTCCATCTTCTTTGTCTCTGTTCCTTCTCATTTGTATAATTTCTTTTCATATTTTCCCTTCTCAAATTTTAAACTCCTCTTTCTCCTATCCTCAGCTGATGACTCTGTTTTTTATTTCCCTAAGAAAAATAAAACACTCAGAAAAGACTGCACCCAGGCTCTCAGTGTCTTCTCTGCCTGTCTACCAGCATTTGTACTCACCTGCTATTCACTAGCTTCTATCCCCTTCCCCACTCTCTCTCTCTGCTCAGGAGCACAATTCCACACTCATTTCTACAATTGCCATTTTTTTTTTGCTCTACTAGATTATTCTGATCCAAGTACAAACATACTCCTGTGTGTCTACTACTTGAAAAATAAAGAAAACCAAATTATAAAACTTTTAATTTCAATTCCCTTTCTAGCCACTACARAATTTTTCTGAAATTTTTTATAACAAAATTCCTGTTAGTCAGCTTTCTGATGCTGTGACAAAATGCCTGAGATAATCAACTTATAAACAGGAAAGATTTATTTTGGCTCATGGTTTCAGAGATTTCAGTCCATTGTTGCTTGGCCCTGTTGCCTCTGGACCTGTGATAAGACAGTACATCATGGTGAGAACATGTAGAGGAGGAATCTGCTTACCTCATGGCAGCCAGAAAACAGAAGAAGGGGAGAGGAGAGGTGTGGAGGGATATTGGGACCKCAGCAATATCCTAATATGCCCCTCAAAGAAACACCACCAATGACCTAATTTGCTTCCACTAGGCCCCACTTCTTAAAGGTTAAAAGGATCTCTGCATCGTTTAAAGGATCAAGCCTTTAACATATAGGTCTTTGGGGACACTTTCCAAACCATAGTATTACTTAACATTTTCTTCAATTCCTATTCTCCATCCTYTCTCTTGAACACACCCAAATAAACCAATAACCACTCCATTCGGATTGTTGTTACCAAGTCACTGGTAGTTCAGCTTTACTAAACATCTCAGTTCTCACCTTACTTAAATTCCTAAACAGCATTTGACAGTAGACCATTMCCCTCCCAATGAAAATTCTTCCCCACTACATACTCTGGGTATTTCCCCACT